CGACCGCGTACACGCGCCCGCCCATCGTCGCCATTCCGGGTTGGATGCGCGCGATATCCATTGGCGCTAATTCCTCCCACTCTCTAAACGCAAGAAGCAGATTAAAATCATGACAATATAAGACAAAAACATATAATTTTAAAGAATGGATCTTATACTACCAATGTCGCCTACAAATGATAGATTACAAATTCGTCAATATAATTCTTGTTTAATGGCCCAACAATAAATATTAAATACCGCTTAGCAAGATTACTAAAATCGAGCATGGTATGTGAATTCGCAAGGCACAAATATTACAAATTTCGCAAACGATATTTGTACCTCTTGTATAGATCAAACTTGAGTACTGTGGAGAGTATGTTATCTGTGACGAAGCTGGGCATGACGTTGTTGTCGTGGCAGGAGCCGCCCGCCACCAGCAGCACGCGCCGCGAGCGCGCGCGGGGCTCCGCCGCCAGCGACACCAGCGCACCCCGACCACTTTTCTACCATACCATAAAACAAACATATTCATTATTTCTATTTGCTAGTTTTTAGGTTGTGTAAAATCAGGTATTCAATATTTTCGATTTCTGATGTTTACCCTCATAGTAATTAGAATCGATATATCATAGTTATATCTTATGGATAAAAAAAATTTAAAAACACCGTTTTTTTTCATATAGTTATTCAAAGTCAAATCAATAATGAAAAATACAGAATATTTACAAAGAATGAGACTTAATATATATTTATTACTAGTACAGTTATGCATTATCTAAGAATTCATTAATATTACTGCAATTGCTATCACTGTATTCACCACTAGAACCGTTCCTTAAATTAACTAATATTTTTTTTTATAACATAAGATGGCAAACGAGCAAGCGGCCACCTGAAACCGCCAAAATTGCGAAGCGACCGCTGCCCATAGGCATCCGCAATTGCAGATGCGTTGCCTACCCTTATACGACGGAGGAGGAGACGCACATAAAGAGGATATTTCCCCTTCCTATGCATCTCCTCTACCGTCAAATCCACTTCTTCTTCCCAACCTCTCCTTATAAGAAAAGGGTGGTACAGAGAAAGGGACTTAGATTAGGCCTCCGGCACCACACTCATCAGACGAAACACGGAATTGCTTCCATTTCACGCCTGTCTTCTGTATGGTCGTGGTATTACACCGGGCGTGCCGGCCCTGCAGTGCTAAGATGTTAAAGCGGGCACTACCACTGTTAAACAGATTAATAGATTAATCATAATTTTAGTTTAACATTTTTTATGATTTAACCGAATATCGATAGTTCTCGCTAAGCGCTTATGTTCCGTCACTATGATACCCGTCTATTAAGTACGGCATTTAGCTTCATACAAATATTATTTAAAATTGTATATGCGTGATTAATGTAACTAATCAACCTTATTTAGACAAACCATAAAAGATTAAATGTCAAATAAACATAACACTTCAAAATTGTTGTATTATTTGCTCTCAGTTTGTTATTCAACAGTTATCTGTGTCAACATTATTTCGATTACTCAACAAATCTAAATAAAGATAACAATGGAGTCGTCGAATGTAACACAATTACATACCATATCGACTCGTACTGTTTTCAAGGCGACCGCTATAGATGGATCTCGTACGGTTTTTAGGGCATCGTCCAAAATTTGTGGCAAGATCAGCGGCAGACGGACATTGCTTAAAACTTCGAAACAATGGCGCCTGCGGCTCGCCGGGTCGTGTTCTAGCCATTCTAATGCTGGATATAGGACCTACAATTTATTCATTTATTTATTTTATTATGTTCACAAAACAGCTTAAAACTAAATACATAATTACAAATAAGAATAATGATTTAAAGAAGTTTCTATATATGAAACCTAGTTAGGTTTCATACCGAAATAGGTTTACACAATATGACTATATAAGATAACTATGAAAAAAGGGAAAAATTAATCACATATGTCATTGTTACATTAAAATGAAGTTACTAGGAAAGCTGAAGACACTAAACATTATTTCTGCATGCACAATTTTGAAACCAAATATATCGAAAAGTATATAAATGTCTCTCTCTCTCTCTTTGATATAAATGTAGTTACATAGTAATGAATTAATTAGGAAACCAACCTGAGCCTCATTATCAACTTTCAGTTCTTCCGATGACAGTAAAGTAACAAGTTGTTGCAGGGGCAGTTCTAAGAATTCTTCACCCTTGGTCACTATATTCCAATGTACTTGAGCGTGAGCTAACGCTTCTTCTGCTAAGCTCATACAGTTGTGGGATTCTGCAAACCTGAAATAATTTTACTATTCAGTTAGTCAAATGTTTCAAAAAAACAGTTGTATTCACAATTAAGTTTTTAACTATAACAATTTATACATATAATAAATTGGAGTGTCTGTTTGTAATATCAAAAGGAAAATTTCAGATTTCAGGAAGATAGTGTATTTGAGTTGCTTATAAAGAAAATTGTATAAAAAAAAATTGTCCGTCCACAAGCCACATTTGTTCCAGGTAATCACAGAAATAGCAGGGCCAATTTCTACCAGACTTTTACTGAAGGGTAGCTAAAATAGACAGGCATATTATGGGCTACTTTTTCTTTTAATATTGCATGAACAAAGTTGAGGGCAACAGCTAGTGTTATATATTTCACAAAAAAACAATACTAAGAAAAGCCACATAATATTCTCATTTTATTAGTTATTAACCTAAATGATTCATCTAATGTGATTGTAAAAGTATTTTAGTATTTTAACATGTGTTTGAAAGTTAGTCATATCAGGAATTGAAAATGAATTATTCATTTAGGCATCACATTTATATGTGATGTCCTGTTTTCAGGAAAAAATGTTTTTTAACCTTTAATGATTGAATTAAAAAAATACCTATAAATACCCAATGCATTTGATGCATGTAATTCCCTTTTTAAATATTCACCACATCCAGTCACCAGCTCCCTGAGCTGCAGCATGTCCGCAACAACCAGAAGATGTTGGACTGTTGCTTTGTCTATAATTATTTCACCTAAAAGTAACATGAAATTAGATATTAAATATAAGTCTGAAGCAATTTTAAACACTGTTAGTTCTTTTAATGAAGATTTCTGGTATTAAATCAGGTTTAAATCAGTTTAAATATCTGACATTCATGTAGTACAAAGAAGTAAATATCTTTTTTATACATAATAGATTGTAAGTACCTGTGTATATAAAGTCAACAATCATTGGTAGTATACCAGGGGGAACATTAGGTAATATAACATGACCTTTATGACTCTCCTCCAAGCCCACACTGAACATGGCATCAAAGTATTCACAACTTGCAGCTAAAACGACCCGATGTGCCTGAAATATATAAACTTTATAAATACAGAGCAATTTCGATTAGCATGAGCATATTGGAAATTATAGTTTTTGTATCAAAATTTATGTATAAATAAGACAATAATTTATATTATTACTATATGATTTAATAAACAATAAACTAACAAAGTACTTACTTTTACTTTAGTTGTTCCAGATATCAAATCAATATCACAAAATCTTCCGTCTTTTCTCAAATTATTTAATTTTAATGACACTTTAGTTCCAAATTCCACACACTTGTATGGTCTTGATCCTTCTTTGCAAGGCAACTTTTCATATAAATTCGACATTGTTGTGATTTATATTTGAATTCAAAGTATTAAATGAGTCATTATTTTATTGGCTCAACAAGTAAAATCTAATTTAAATTTTTAAAACTTTTGATAATCATGTATTATCATACTAGACTGACGCTTTAAGTTTATAATTGATATCAGAAATAGCAGTTTGAAACACAATACAGTTTAACAATCTTATAACACTTAAATCATAATTTAAAGATATTAAAGAAAATAAATATTACTATTTGTGACATTGTACATCTCCCGTCATCTTTACACCCCAATATGTGTTACCATTACAATATTCCACATTCTGCTTGTTGGAAATACGGGCACTGTACACTGCACACTGCACATAAAACTAAAATAATTCTATCGCAGTATCTGTCCATTCCACCTGATGACTGTATCAAACGATATGGTGTTTTAATATTTTTCAGTGAGGTCGCCAACATCAACGATACAAGTTTACACCGATACAAGTTTGCCATTTCATAGTAAAAATGTACACTTCTAGAGAGTCTTCCAATTTTTAAATCACGAATATTTTGTCAATTTCTAATACTACTGATTTTCTTGGTATAATTTTCTTTTACGAACTTGTAAGACCTTGTGTTGTAGCAACGTTGTCCAGTTTTTGACACCTATCTACTCTTTGAAATCACGTCAACCTTAATTTTATACACTGCATTTTGTTCTGTCACAATTGACATTGACACAAAAGCAAAAGCAAAAATAATAAAAAGAAGCTCCTTGTATTTATTTAACAAAGTATTACGTTAGAGGCTTTCTTAATATTATAATTTTCGTTATGTGTTAATATTTCAATAAGCATATAAAATGTTTGCTACAATTAGAAGAAAACTAAAATGGGGTACTAGCAAGAGTACGGAAAGTAATAAAAATGAAAATTCTCTTTTACTTGTGGCCTTTATTGGATTATTTGAAGATGTATTATTTTGGAATAAAATGTGGCTGTCCCTTATGTTTATAGCGTTTTTGAATTTATTTTTCTTGTAAGTTTTAAAATTCAATATGTTATAAAGTTTCTTCTAATCTTATTTTAAAAATTATAACGTGTTGATTATTTTTCAGTTTTTGCGTCCATCAAGAAATTAATTTCTTCCAATTCCTTTTGAAACTTAAAATTGTTATATTGTGTATTGATGCTCTTGAAACATGGCTAAAACATAAACATAGAACAACTTGTTTAAAAAAATTAGCTAGCCGTGATATTACAAAGTTCAAATCAACCACAGCGCAATTAAGTAATTGGATGAATAAAAGATGGCTGGATTATATGTTCTTGCGAGAACAAAACCATACCAAGGTATGTCTTTTCTACATTGTTTTATGCTTTTATAAGTACTTAGGAATGAATTATTATCTAGTTATTTATCATTGATCTTAAACTATCATAAGAAAATTTCAACAGTACTGTTATAAAACACCATGTGGTATTTTTATTTCTTTAAAATCTGTTTTTGTAGTGATTCATAGTGTTTTAACAACATAGACAAAGAAATTGTAAACCTTAAGTATGTTCTACTTTTCCAGGCATTTTTATTGCTGCAGATTATTTTTGGAGTTGTCTTTTTTGTGTGCAAGCATACAAGTGGATACACAATAATGTATATTTTGACAATGTTCATATGCTTCTCAAAAAAATTACTACCACCTTTTGTTAGGCTTGTAAGGAGAATACAACTAAATGCAGGTAATACTTTAAGTTAGATTAGTGAATACATTTTGTAACATCTATTTTGTTCTTGTTTATTTATTATTGCTTATGATATAGAATTGGATCTGGAGTTAGAGGGACTAATACCAGAAGAATCTGATGCAAATATGGATTTATTGTCTATAGAGCAAGATCAAAATCAAATAATTGATGAAAAACAAAGTTTAGGTAACTTGTATATCATTTTTTTTAACATTATAATATTTTTTAATTAATCATATTTATGCTCTTTGTATCATGTCATAGATTATTGGAAGCCAGAAGATTTGCCAATTGAAGAAGCTAGTGATAGTTCTGAAACTAGTAGTTCCCTTGTAACCAATCTATCAATGGAAAAAATGCAAACATTTGAAAAAGAAATTGAGACTTCAGATTCTAGTGAAGATGAATACATGCCACAAGTTAAACGTAAGTATTGTTTTCACAATTGATGTAAATGGCTATAAAAATTTTAATTAAACCTGTAAAATCTGTTTTAGAACCATTGAAGGAGGAATATCGATCCACTGCAGTGGTTGTACCGGCAAACACATGGAGTAATGCTGCATACAATGCATTACAAAATATAGGTGGAGCAGTTGTTAATATGATTTATACATCACAGGATGATAGAAGAAGGAAGAGAGTTTCTAGTATTGATTCATCTGATGGTTTTGAAATGATAGATAAAAATGATGTTTTATAAAATTAATCAATACATGTTTCATTTGATTTCAATTAATTTTTATTTTAAATACTTGTACTTAAACATTACATGACATGTTATCCAACATAGACATCAATTCTTGATGCCGTTTTTTTAATGCACGTAAGCGAACACTGTGAAGAGCATTTCGTGCCACCAATGCTTCCAGCATTGGCCTAGAAATCTGAAACAAAAAATAATTACCCAGTTACAATTGTTTAACTGTTTAAATTTGTTTTTTACAGTGATGTTAACATAACTTTTAATGAAGGACATATCAAACATAAATCATGTGCCATGTAATTCATAATTACATGTAGACTACTGTATTATAGAAATAAATTATGTTAAAAACTTAAAAACTATAGTTCATTTTAATTTAATGACATATGTTATTAACTTTACTCTTGCTGGAGTAAGATTTAAATGTATCTGCTGCTTTGTTTTATTTGTAAATTGTCAATTACCTTTCAAATTATTTTGTGCATCTGTAAGATATTTGCTTACAGATGCACAAAATAATTTAAGTATAGAATAGTATAAAGTAATACATGAATAACCAACCTTTTCCACAATATGTCCTATAGCTATAGTCAGGACTGCAGAGTTGTGTTGCCTAGTAATGATATCAGTATCACATTGTCCAGCTTCATTTATGTAAGATTCATCTTCCTCCTCCTTTAGTATTGCTGGTAATTGGGTCAATATCTAAAAGTCAACTTGCCGGATTTCACTTATATACATAAAATCAAATAGAAGAAAATCTGATATAACACTTTTTTAAACTTTACCTCAAAGTTATTTATCGTTAAAGAATCATTGTTGTTGGTTATTTCTAATTCAATTTCCCTTCTGCTTTGACTTGACCCTTCATTGACTGATTGGAAACATGTTATCTGTATCTAAAAAATACAATCATACATGAACAGGAGTGATCACTCAATTCATTACATTGTATATGTCAAAAATTGTTACCGAAGGTGCCTTGGCTGTCTGTTCTGTGAGAAACACTGCAAATATAATACCCACAAAACTTGAATCCATACGCTGGTACATTGACTGTGTGGCAAGATCTAGAAAGAATAATGTTGATTAATCTTTTTTGCTTCAGGGTGAACATGACCAGTGACAATATCTTAAAATTTCTCACCAACATGTGATGGCCACACAGTAATATGAGGGTGTGAATGGTACCATCCAACAACTCTAAGCGGACGTCCAACTTCTGCTGCAAGCTCTTCCGCTCTAAGAGTAGCTTGTACCAACTGTTCTTCGGATATCTCAACACGGTCGGGCTTTTTATCCAGCCGTCGTAATATTACAGAGGAGACTATAGACACCAACGAATTGTTTTCATGAACCTGTTATTCAATGAAAAAATTAATTTCTTGTTCTTTAATTTTCTCAATTGTCTGTGCATAAAACTTACCTCGCCTATTAGCAATCCCATTATTTCTTCTTTTTCAGTTGATAGTGCATGCTGAACACAAGCTAGTGTAACGTCTGTTGATAACAAAACTTTATTTAACATTTTAATTTATTTACAACAGTAGTTTATAGAGAAGTTAAAGATTTTATTCAGTGTTTAAGCACTACTTTTTTCCTAGCTTTTTTGTTTTGACAATTTAGTGACACTGACAAATGACATTTGAATTACGGAAACGTCACACTAATTCGTCAAAGAGTAAATATTGTTTTAATGTTTAAATTACCATTTGTTAATTCAAGAAATCCCCTAATATGTTTGTAATTTCAAAAAAATGTATGGTAACTAATTAATGTAATTTCAAAAAAATGTATAGTATTAAATTAAGACTTACAAATATTTTTCTGATAGTTGTTTTATTACCTATTTAAAATCGTAGTGACCGAACCTTATGTTTTTACGTGTTTTGTACAATTGGAAGTATCGCCTTCGTGACATAAAATCAACGAGGGTTTTAGTTTTTAAAGTACATATTTACTTACGCAATAAAGAAATTACTGTGTGTTCTTAAGTTCTTAGTAATGATTCAAGAGACTAGCTGTCTATTAATTTTAAAACGCACAGTTCAAACCAATGGGCATAAGACATATGTAGTTTGTGTTGTGCGTTGATTATAAACAACAAACAATCATTAATATTTCTATTATGTTAAGGCTATTTCTTCCCTTACCGTATAAAGAGAGAGCATTGCTAAAAGTTTGCTACAAAAGTTGTTTAACTATAGAGTTATTCTCCTCGAAAAACGAAGTCTGGGGCCTTTCCTAGTTACATTGTAAGGTGTAAGTTACATTTACTTGTACAAAATGTTCTTTAACAATTTGCGTTTTTTTATTCAAAAGGAAAGAATTTCCCTTTAATATTGAAATAATACCTTGCTGGTAGCCCTAAATGCTCAGAGGCGCCGCCTTGTCTATGTCAAAAAGGTGCACAATATCCTTGTGGCACTATACGCACTCTTTGCCCTCTTCATTCCTAATTCATATCAATCGATGCCAATTGGATAATTACAAAACCAGTGCGGCCGGATAGCCGTTCGCGAAGGGTAATTGGAATAGTAAGTGCTTCTACTTATTTTACGTTTTATAAAGCTAGTGCGATTATTGAAAGAGAAACTAAATATCCGTACGTTTTCATAAAACTTTATTATGGCACATATAATATGCAATTCGTATTTTTTTTTTCAGTTTTAAAATTCGCGAATAAAAATGTTGAAGACTGGTAATATAATCCGAATTGTAAACGATCAGCTTCTACTGAAAAATAATAAATTTATACCAAACTGTGAGTAGAAATATTTATTTTATTTATTTCTTTATAATTTCGAAAACATCAAATGTAATCACAGGTTTTTTAATCTAACCATCATCACATAATAAGTCTGAAAATACATTCTTTTGTTGTGTTTTACGATTTTTTTATGATGGTGCAGTGGATCATATGGTTGACTTAATTTTAAAGCATTATCCAGTAAGTGGCAGCGGGTCATAGCTAGAGCTTGAATGTGAGCGTCACTGTCAAGCTGCATGTGTGTTTAAAAATATTTAAAATTGTATGTGTGTGTTGTAAAAAATTTAAAATGGCTTTTTTAGGTTCTTCACTTGGTGGTTCAATAGGGTGTTGTTATACTTGGGATATAATCTTTTCCAGATTTCTTCCAGAGTCTTTGTAAATAATAGTAAATGTTAATCAGTTGCAATATTGCATTAGGTGCAAATATCAGCTATTTCTGTAATTTTATTAAATGTTCTCTATGTTATCTTATTTCTTACTAATATTATTAATGAAAAAGTTTAGATGGATCGATGGATTTATATTAGTTAGAGTTTATAGCCTTAACTGCTGATCGTATTACTGGAAGAGCACATAGGCTATTTTTTTTAATTTCACGCCGAGGAAGTCGCGGGCGATAGCTAGTAATTTAAATAACAAAAAAGTGCAATATTTGTTCTTTCAAGTGATACATTTACTTGTGTAAAATTAAATTATTCTTATCATAGATTTACATATACACTGCATATTTAAATTAGTGCGAAATAATGAGCCGATTAACAAATGTAATTTATTTTAGGGTTTCGATATTCAACCGGTGTTGAATGTGAACCAGCTAAGCCTTGCATACGCACTGCAGTACCAGGGCCGAAGTCACAGGAGCTCTTTAAAGACCTCAATGTCCTGCAGGTAAGGTCATTACAGATTTTCGTAACTATTTGTCTATGTCTGCAATTTACTCTTATATTCATATTCAGATTCTTGGTAGAGCACATTGAACACAACGGACGCTATTAGTAACGTAGGGGAACTTGATTGGTCTGAATTGACTGTCATGGATGAAGGCCATTATATTTTTATTGATATTGCAACTATCTCTCGCACTCATTCGTATCTATTACTTCTGAACGTCCATTGAAAAGAATTTCTTATGAATACCACTAAGAACATCTGACTAGAGTTTACCATTGTACTTTGAATTAATGCGAACGTGGCTATTATCTCCGTCCCTGTTACTAAGATTAGCGCAGTGCACTTGACTTTCATTAAAATAAGATACGAAAACACAATAATTGCATAATATTTTGCTTTGTAATATCTGTTGGACCGTAATAACCTGTTGACCTATAGATAACTATAAAAATAAACATTTTAATTGCATTCAAACAAATTTGACGAAAATGTGCGCGTTATTATAATTAATTCAATCCTTGGTCCTAGTAAGCAGGATATTGTACTATAGTGCTAAGAAATGCAGATTCAATGTAAACAAGTACTAGCTATCTTTTATTATATAAAATCTAACAATCCGATAGAGATTGAGATTAGCGAAGATATCATATCATACTGTCAACAACAGGGACGAAAATAAAAGCGTGAAAAAATAACAATATATACGTAGTACTTTTTATAACTTGATTTTTCAGAGTAACAAGCATTAGGTATTATTTAGTTAACCGTTTAGCTTATTTACTAAATTATTTGCTTATTAAAATGTTTATTGTTTCAACTGGCTGTAATGCTATTGACAATGTCGAGTATAATTAAACGGGGAATTATTTTCGTGTCAAGGTTACTATCGTTATCTTTATCGTTATCAGTGCGGATTGTACGTACATAGTTACTAGGGCAATAATGGAATAGCAATATAAAGGTTTTCTGTTTGAGTTAGTCTTGAAACATGACTATACGGATTAATAAGATATGTATAAAGGGTACTTTTATGTATAATTTTAGCCTTAATAAACTAAGTAAAGGATTCTTTACGTGTATTTCTTTCATTTATGAATCTTTTTATAATTGAGATGTACTTTAATAAAAATTTATTGTACTAAACGTGGAAAAAACGCGAAGCTGAATTTACATTTAACTAATTTCTATTACAGCAAGCAGGTGCTGTACAATTATTCGCAGATTATGACAAATGTATGGGAAATTACTTCGTGGACGCCGATGGGAACACGTTCCTGGATGCGTTCACGCAGATATCGTCGATCCCCATCGGGTATAATCACCCAAAATTATTAAACGCATTTTGTGATACACATAACTTGGTAAGTTTGGATTCACTTGAATTCATAGCCGCAACAAATACATCTTTTCATATTACAAAGCTTCCTTTTCAGTACGCAGTACGCACACTCTACACTTTAGGTCTTATTAAAACAATCGCGACTTACAAATCTAGAATACATTGCAGAATTAACATTTTGGTTATTCTACCAAAAAAAGGTCACTTGACTACCTTAGTCAATACAACGTCCTTTGATTGTTATTGAATAAATATCAAAATAAGTAGGTATTTGACGTCACGTATTGTATTTCCAATTATTTTTGTTCAAGTATAAAAGGCACCTCTAAATTCTATGAGGATAAGGTAAACATATTAACATGAATATAAAAGTACTAGCTTTCGCTCGCGACTCCGTCCGTATGGAATTTAAAAAACAAAAATGAGTATCCTATATGTTCTTCCATACTACCCTCCACACCTATACCAAATTTCATGAAAATACGTGCAGTTTTTTAGCCTACAAACTCTAACAAACATCCATCCAGCCATCTAAACTTTCGCATTTATAATTTTAGTAAGATATATTAGATTTGTCTAATTAATTGCAGAAGCAACTGATAAACCGACCGGCGTTAGGTGTATTCCCATCTCAAAAGTGGCCTGAGATGTTGAACAACGTGTTGATGCCGGTGGCGCCGGCCGGCCTCACCTGCATAGCCACCATGATGTGCGGCTCATGTTCCAACGAGAACGCCTTCAAATCTGTCTTCATGTGGTATCGAACGAAAGAACGAGGCGGAAAGATCGATTTTACTCAAGAAGAAATTAACTCCTGCATGATCAACCAGCCGCCGGGATCTCCGCATTTGTCTATATTGTCTTTCAAGGTGAGTTTATTACACTTGTGCATTGATAAGTTTATTGAGATTTCTAAGCTGACTGGATTATTGTTTTCTGATTTCCAGCTAGGTTTCCACGGGCGCACGTTCGGCGCGTTGTCGTCGACGCGGTCAAAGCCTATCCACAAGCTGGACTGTCCCGCTTTCTCGTGGCCCGTGGCCCCCTTCCCTCACTACAAATACCCACTCCAGGAACACAAGCGAGAGAATGCTGAGATGGATCGCAAGTATATATCTGCTTTCATTTAATAACCATTTTTATATAGTTTCAAGTATGTATTATAATTGTTTTTTTTTTTCATAAAAAGTAATTTTTTATATGTATATTAAACGGACGTTATCGATGTTGCGATTACATTTACACATAAAAAGTCACAAGCCAAAGTTACTGATACGTTGCCCTTGTGCATTTAATAAGTCATTTATTTTTACATATTCATTCGCATTTTTTATTTGAATAATTTAAATCGACGTCTGTTAATTACGGACAATGTTATCGCGGCGGCACTATCATACTTCATACTAATATTATAAATGCGAAGGTTTAAATGGATGGATGTTTGTTACAGCTTGTAGCCTAAACGATTGAAATAGTTTGGATGAAATTTGGTATAGATATAAAGGATAGTCTGGAAGAACACATATTCACTATTGTTTTTTTTTTAAGTGCACGCGGACAAAGTCGCGGGCGAAAGCTAGTTTAAAATATTAGTAACTAGCTATTGCTCGCAACTTCGTCTACGTGCAATCAAAAATAGTACAAACTATAACCTATATCACTCATTGATAACGTACGATTTTTAATGGTGAAAACATTTTTGAAATCGGCAAAGTAATTTTTGCGTTAATTCAATACATACAAAATTATAAAACTTTCCTCTTTATAATATTAATCTAGATATAGATAAAACAGGCGTAGGTATCCTAAATACCGAACAGGAATTTATTTATTTATTTATTTATTGGTGATAACCACTCAGCATATGTGCTAGAACTATCAATAAATCAATAAAAATTTTAATAAAAACATTAAACGCACTTTGTTACAGATGCTTGGAGGAGGTGGAGGATATAATCCATTGCCAGAAGTCGTGCAACCCTGTAGCCGGGGTCATAATAGAGCCTATACAGGCCGAGGGCGGAGACAACGAAGCATCTCCTGAGTTCTTCCAGAAACTTCAGAAAATATGCAAGAAAGTGAGAGAATATTACATAATTTTAAACACAACGTTATGTTAGATATTTAGACACATATGATTTTTTGTTAATATCGTCGTACGGCCATATTAACAATACTTGTAAATTACTCTGAACAAACAAACCGTTGGGTTTGTTTGTTTAAAACCACGTAAAGATATCGAATGTGGTGATTACTAGAAAAATACTAAGTTTGTTAGCGACTTAGGGCTGAGCCACCCCTTACCTATTATTCTATAACTATTCCTTTCGTTTCCTAATATTTTCTTAACAATATTGTTGTTTTAAATAAAAATAGTTTTGATTAATAGCGAAGATTAAAATATAACTTTGAATAATACAGTATTTATAAAAAAGCTAACAACAGTTACGGTGGTTATTTATTAACCTATATTTTGTATAATGTACAGAATGGTGTTGCACTCATAATGGACGAGGTGCAGACGGGCTGCGGCCCGACGGGCAAGATGTGGTGCCACGAGCACTTCGCGCTGGCCGCGCCGCCGGACCTCGTCACCTTCAGCAAGAAGATGCTCACCGGGGGGTTCTACTTCAGCGAGGCCTTCAAGTTAGTACATCATCGGTTTCACATGACCGGTCCATACGCGTCCTCTACATCGATGGGCAACTTATTTTCTTAACGATTGGCAAAAGCCATCGAAAACAATTTGATATCTAAAAATTACAATTGAAATAATTTATCAAAAGCAACAAAAAATTTATTGCATTTTAACTTAAAACGAATTACAATTTGTACTTTTAATGTAATTTCTTCTTATTTCCAGGCCCCCTCATCCGTACCGAGTGTTCAACACGTGGATGGGTGACCCGGGAAAGCTGATCCTCTTGGCCAAGGTTTTGGAAGTCATCAAAAGTGACAATCTCATTGCTTCGACTCAAAAAGTGGGAGAACATTTGAAGAATGGTCTCCACCAGCTGGAGAAGGAGTTCCCGAATATTATGAGCAGCGTGCGCGGTCGCGGCACATTCTTAGCTTTCGACGCAACCACGGCGCAGCTCCGAGACAAGATTAATAATAACATGAAGAAAAATGGTATGCATATATTAATTAATGGTAATTCCAAATCTAATGACGTATTTATCTTTGTATAGCTGTGGCTCGTGACTTCGCCCCCGTCAAATTTTGATATAGCCTATCTTACTTACTTTTTAGCTTTTTAATAGTGAAAGTATTTTTGAAATCTGTCCAATAGTTTTCCTGTTATTTCAATACATACAAATATACATATTTCCTTTTTATATCATTAGTATAGATTATAGAAAAAATAGATAAAAGTCAGTGGTGGTGTAAGAGAAGGTGGTTAGGTCTTGTGCCATGCTCCGGAAGGTGACAAAATTAGGTTTCACGAATGTAAATATGGTGATAAATCATTAGACTGAAGATGATGGTGATATTTTGTCTTAAAATACAAGGTGACAATATTTTTAGGGTTGTCACTGATTTTTTTTCGGTTTAACTACTTAACACGCTATTGCTTATAAAGCTAAGTAAATGAAATATTTTGATGGGAACAGATTTGTCAAGTGGTTGTTAATTTGCAGGCGTGCTGGGCGGCGCGTGCGGCGAGCGCGCCATACGCATCCGACCGGCCTTGGTGTTCCAAAAGAAACACGCGGATATATATCTAGATATTTTAAGGAAAACACTCAAAGAATTTTAGAATGTGACAATACAAAATCTTCTCAATATTCATTCCATAGATATGCAGTATGAGGTGCTGTATGCAATAATTAAATTATGTGACATTTCACAGTATTATTAGCATTTTATGCATTTATTTTTGTGCCAAAGTGCCATAGTTACCTATTTATATATTTTATTTTAAAGCACAAACTATTGTAGTAATGTTTAATTTATTTATTTAAATGTCAAAATGTTGTCTGCCTAAAAAATTAAATGTTCTTTTATATAGATAAATGTTAACGATATTTTACTATGAATGTATGTTATTTGCTTAGAATTTTAAATATATTGTAATGCAATTATAACTTTGCATGCCTCAGAAAAGTCTTCCATTATAGTTATAGTAATAAAGTCTTTCGAATTGTGTTTGTTGTGTTAATATTACATATTTTAATAAATTACCTCTAACAGATGGCGTGCTTGCAATAGTTTAGAGTACAGATAAATAAAGAAAATCGTAACCATTGATATATAAACCTTATTGTAAAAGTGCAAGCCCATTTAAAGCTAGAACTCTGACAAGATACAAAATTGACTTTTCGCGGGCAAATAAAAACCGATTTGTCGCTGATCCAGTTGCCAGGTTATATTTTCGAGAGACATTGTTAAAGGTTGGGGTGTTTTTATGTTTACGTATGTTACTAAATTCAAATGTGTGAAAAACGATCCCGAGTCTCCATATAACGATATAGCTAAAGAATATATTTCCTGCATTCCTAACGGCGTCACTGCGAAGGTGTAGGTACATTACTTTCATCATTGATTCATAATTGTAAAGACTTATTTTTAGGTTCCAACTAAAATGATCCTCCAATCTATTTTTAAATAATGTGTCCCACGCGACTATTGAAAAATTATAATTTCTTATATCTTATGACTGCAATTTAATATCTTAAAGCCATTAATATACATAGTCAAAGTACTATTATTTATCGTTTGATTTTCTATTTAGAAACATATTTAAAAAGTTCGGTCCATGATCTATTTTATTCCGCACACAGTTTCTACATAACTATTCAAATGTAAGCTCTTTATTATGTTTAGAATGTATATTACGTTATAATAAAGCAAAGATTTATATAATAAAAATGAAATTCAATGCAATAAAAATAATTTTCAATACAAAAATTTTCGTTAAAAATCAACCGTCTCGTGTAACCTGTGACGCTACTCGACGTGAAGTCTATATTAAGAATGCCGCTTGGGAAGTGATTACGTATTCTATACCTATTTATTTGTCTAATTTTCTAATAATAGCTGATCTTATAATAGCATTCAAATGACGTATACGTATACGTTTTAATTTACCGTCTACGTTTCCTATTTCAAGAACTTTGAGAAATGGAAATATTTTTGATGGTTTCTTTTAACACGAGTCTGATAACTACAGTATAGATTTTTCAGGAACTGTTTTTTAACTAGTAAGCGTTCGTCAATGATGTGAGCTTTTATCGATGGAGGTGACTATTAAAGTATTTTCGGCGCCTGCCTGATTCATAGGTTTGGCGCACTTCTGGTATTGTATAACTTTATGTTCATTAAAATGTAACAATACACTTCCCTAAACGTACATGTCATATCATTGCTACTAAATGTAATGCTTTTGTTAACAATTTATACGTTTTGTAAATAAAGTAATTATATATAAAATTTATAAATCCGGCAATACCAGCTTACAATATTGTATAATTATGTGTAAACTTTCCACTCACTCTTTTCACAAAAATGCGGATAATGCATCAGTAATTATTATGATTGTTATTGTAGCAAAGGTCACATAATATCAGACGATGCGCTTGCTCCTTTCTCGTCTTTTATAGGTATATGTATGGTACGCTCAGTTCATAAATTGAAATTAATATCAAAAGAATAAATCTTATCGATTTTTAAATACATCGTCAATCGTTCGTAATAAAATTTGTTAGCGCGCACAAATCAGGAAAACGTGTTGAAGATATACAAATGATTTAGGATAGTGATCTAGTCTAGTCGGGAATGAGGTCGCAGATAAATTTTATGAATACATAAATATGTATAATACTTAAAGAGTAAGCTTTTCTTTCTAAAAACAGGCTAAGACTTTTTTCTCGCAAGGTTTAGCGAGGTATTAGATTTGTCACTTTAGATTTCCATCATATTTTGAATTACCTCAATATTAGCCACGTTTTACATAGGATCAGTGTTTACTGCCTAATTTTCGCAAAATTTTCCCTTCTGTTACATTATCTAAAAAATATGATAATGTAGTAATTAAAAAAATCAGCAAACCACAAAAGAGGTCTACCCGTGAAGTTGACATTGAAACAAGAAAAAAATAGGTAAGTACATTTTGAAATCACGAGAGGCAGTTTTTGTAATTTGTACCTAAAGGCTAAATAAGAACGTCAATAACGAATTCTTCCACTTCAGTTGTTTTTGTTCGTTACAAATACAAATGCATTATTCATGGCATTGTTCAATATTTGTGTTTGTGTTACTCATATCTTTGGTGTTGCTTTTTTATTTCAATAAAGAATTCTTTAGTAATGTAAACAACAAAACTGATTTGCCTGAGCTAGTTTTACATAACAAAGATTTATAAGATACCTATTCTCACTTCCTATCTGTGTATTGGTAAAAAATACCCGGTTACAATATTTAAGTTTACAAATTTAAAAAAGGTGTATCATAACATTCTATGGGACCAATACAACTATATGTCTTTTAAGTATTTGAAATTAGTAAATATGTGCGTTACAATTATATCATACAATCTATTAATAATGAATTAATTTTTAAAGATTTCAGTTCTTTTCCCTCCATCACTCCATGAGCAATAAGTGGTTAATATTGCCAGTGTTAAATATGTCGTCAATTGGTAGAATTTCCTTAATAAACAAAAACTATCAACTTTTGTTTAATTTAACGCTAACTATATTATCTTTAATTATAGAACCTGTAGTTAATACACAACTACGTACACAAGAAAAATAGAAAATTGTTACTTAGATGGAAAAAACGTAACTAAGTGTTCCTTTGACATTTCTACTTTAGAAAATATAAAACAAGTACTGAGGTTAATTAAAATGGATTAAATGAAATCATGAACGTACAAATCCAACTATTTACTTATTTTTGATTCAAAAAAATAATTACCTGTCTCATCTTGGTAGTTTTATTTTGGTAGAATTTAGTAATAATGGTATCTACAACTGTACAACAGTATGTCTGTATGTCAGTCTGATATTTATTAGAAATAGGTGCGGTTACAAAACACCTGAGTTTATCATCTTTTGTTTTATTCAGCCTATTTTAACTTCTAAAATTTTATATTTTTCAATAATACTTTATATGACAAATTACTTAACAAAGGACTGATTCTGATAGATAGTGTTATTATTTTCTCCAGCAGATCGAACAACAGTGTCATTGGACAAGACCAATCATCCGTTTCGTGCATGTGTATTCTACATAATAGAAGTCCCTATCAAATTGTGATCGGATGTCAATACTGGGTTCGATTTAAAATACAAAGGTGATAAAAGTGTAGTGAATTGTGTAATTTCGACAACCGACAAAAACATCGATTTGGTCGTTGTCGTTGCACCTGTCTCTATTCACCGGAAGAACAAATGTTATTTTAAGGTTTTATTTTTGTTTTTATTATATAAATTAAATTTGAAGCTTTTCATTGGCTTTATAAATTTGCTTCTTTTCGCTAAAGTGCTAATTTTCAAGAAAATATAGAAAGGTGTATTGCCTTGTAAAACATTGTATGCATCATACCGTGTGTAGGTGTAAGACAGCTCTAATTTTTTTCTCAAAGCTTGTAAGATTATAGATTATATGATATAACTACAACTAATATGTAAAAGTTAAGCAACATTAATTTCAGGTCTAATCAGCTGTTCAGTGCAGAAAAATATTTCGCTAGAAAATAGCCTGAGAATTTTTCGTAACTAGTTATAGTTCATATGTATTACGAAAGAATTTCTTCCTAACGTCTTTGTTGCAAAACATAATATGTTAACATTACGACGTGCAAACATAACATTTACAAATACTCAAGTAATTGCAATAACATTTCCAAACAATGCAAACATGAGAACACAGCTTGTGCGACTTTAGCCTCATTATTATGCCTATGTGGTCATTAATTTCACCAGTTGCTTCTGTTATTTGTTATAAATAAGCTGTAACGATTTTTCACATGAAACATTTTAATAACAAGCAATGATTACAGACAATGCTTTGACAATATGATGGTAAAATGTACAAGCTATATAACCTCCCCTCCTGTTTTAGTGATAATATTAGTGATCAATACAATGCAGTAGGCTTAAAAACTAGCATATGCTGATACCTGCATTGACAATTTCAATGTGCTTGCTATAAATGTGTTTTGATCCATTACACATGGTTCTAGTTTATATCTTATTTCTTCACCACAACCACTATGTCATCAACATGATAAGATTAGATGAATAATTTACATGTACTATAATGTGTGAACATTCTTAATTGTTTAATGTCAGTGGGCTTTTGAATTTCTTGAGTGTGAATTACAATATCTTAACTAGAATAGAGGGCTTCACCTAGCAAGAAGTAATAAAACATCTCTTTAAATGCTAATATGGTAGTTGGTGATATAATATTCACATGAAAAATCACATTCTAATTATCAATGATTTTAATAGTTGCAATCTTCATATTTTACTATAAACCTTTAAATGTTTTTCTTACCTGTGTTTTAAGAATTACTACACATTAAAATAAAATTTATGACATGTTATAATTTGAGAGTAAACATGTGTCAGTATGATGACAGACATGACATGTCAACATAGAGGTTTAATTTTTCATCACTTTTCATTATTTTTGACCAAAAATAGACCGTATGTATTTATTAAACAAGCTCACAGGGAAATTCTACTTTATGCTTGTATGTGTAAAATACCTATTCAATTATATACCCTAGTCAGATATCTGCTGAGACTTTATTTCAATTTGCATGTTTGATTTCAAGTTGTTAGGTATGACTTAAGCCTATTTTCAGGTACACAATTGCTACTCATGCTCTTAACATTTCGAAAGTCAATTATTTTAAATTTGGTCATTAGGTAATTTATGTGGTTGACAAGTTTTGGCTTTGGTTTAGTGTGGAAATTGCTTAAAATGTTCACATATTTAGAGAGTACATAAATTGTAAATATAGATCCTCTTTGGAACTATACAAATAGTATTGATGTATTCTTTTGTTTTCCTGGTGACATTCACCCGTCTCATGGCAGCCATGTCAAAGGCGGGTGTCCTGTCAAACTTCTGTAATACATTAATATACATTTAATTGTTGTAGTTCATATTCATTAAATTGTATATTTATGGGCGAATTAAATAACAGTTTGTTTCAATAATTTATATGCTCTATGGTACTATTGTTTTAAAATCTTGTATATTTCAGATCATTTTATCCCCCTTGTGGGTAACTAAATATGGTTGACTACTACAGAACATTGGGTGTTTCAAAGACTGCTTCTGAAGCGGAGATCAAAAAGGCGTAAGTGTCATGTTAGATAGTTAATTTTCATTTTGAATGATATGTTTTACAATGTCTGCTTGCTTACAGTTATAGAAAACTAGCTCTTAAATGGCACCCGGATAAAAATCCAGACAATGCTGATGAGGCTAACAGAAGATTTAAGGAAATATCTGAGGCATATGAAGTTTTATCTGATGGTAGGGGCTTTACTTTGTTTTCATGTTTTAACATATATTTCATAACATATGTATGTTAGCACTCAAAGTAGATTGTTCTGGAAAGAGACTTAAATATCAATTACAACAGTTAAAAATATAAGTAGAAAGTTCACACGAGTTCTGTGTTTATTCATAATTTATTTGATAAAACATATTTTTATGTAACATTTTTATTGGTTAGTTAAGGTAGGAGAAAACTGATATTTCCCTGATCAGTATCTCTAACCTTCTGACATGTTTTTGTTTATTGTATTTGTTTATTTTCCTAGTATTACTGGACTTATTGTAAATGTAGAAGCAATAGTTTAATATGATGTTTAGTTGTAAATTAGAACAAGTTCTTCCCTAATGTGTCTGCATATGTATTCACATGCACTCAAGTGATCTGATCATAAAGTGGATCAGTATTGTATGTGGAATGGGACTATTACTTCTGCATGTATGCACTTGTCCATATATTATTGTAAGTGTACATTATTATGTTATTGTTGGGTAGAGAACAAGAGGAAAGTGTATGATGCACGGGGTTCCAGTCATCACAGTCACAGATATCAAAGCAAGAATGGAGTTAATGGCCACCGACACTTTAGCTTCAAGGGGTTTTTCGGAGATACACCTTTTCACCGATTTTTTGGTAGTGTCAATTTCTTGTAGGGCTAGTACAGTGAATATTATCATTTTTGTTCCTTTAATTTATTTAATGCAGCATATTTGAATGTGTCAAATGTATGATTTGTGGCAGAACTGTAATCATAAATGTATGTTATGGTAAACATATGCCTAAATTACTACACTTAGACAATAACTATTATGCACATACAACACTCTCACACATTTTTATACCAAGTTCAGGAAGTGTAGCAAAGTGAAATTCATAATTGATATATGAATCAGTACTGCACCACATATCCTTATAATAAAGTAGGACACAAAGTGATAATATTCAGATAAGTAATAAAGCAAATAACAATTAGTTTTGTTTATTGATTCTGCCTACTTACTCAACTAATGGTCTAGAGTTGTGAGTGAAATAACATTTGGTGTGAACTGTGACTTGCTTCCAATTAAATTATCTCAGCATGACATCACTCAACAAGGAGGGCCTATCAATACATATTGATTTCTATGCTGTGTAATGCTTGTGCAAAGATTGAATCATTTTAATGGTTTTTGTATAGACAATTATATTTATAAGCCCTTTTGTCTTAACATAACCGTTATCTGATTCTCTAGTGTGATCAAAGGGAAATTAATTTGTATTATAACTTTTCATAAGTTTCACCTTTTAAGGGAATCTAACTTGTCCGTAAACTATATGTTCAAACTGCAGCATTGGTGAGGTATCTAAAATATATTATGGTTTTCCAGTCATTTTCATATGCATGACATCATTTGGTTTTATCAAATTGTACAAATATTCACTTGTCATGGTAAATTAACTGAAGTATCAAACACATTTAACAATAAATTTCCTTAATAATATATATGAAACGATGTAAGCCAAACATTTCTAAATTAATGAGTATGAATAGTATAAGATTATAATTGAACCCCTTGTAATATTGTTGGATCTTCATAAGAATAGTCATAAACAATTTCTAACAACAATAACATTTAAGTTTGGGAGCTTATTACTGACAGGGCTGTTTATATATCTAACTAGAATAAAACTTGTAAGCTTGTTAATTTTTTTTGTATAAAATGGTTGTTGGCCTAAGACCTAATAAAGCAACCAACACTTTGAACTCTTACACAAATTGAGTAAAAGCATAGTATTATGTCATACTATTTAAAATGTAAGTTTCCAATGTCGTTACTTATTTCTAAGAAATTAAATAAGTTTCATTTTTTTAATTAGTATAAATATGATTAAAATTACTGTAAATATTTTTAATTTTTTTTTCATAAAATGTGCAGCAATTTTAATAATACTGGTATGTGCAGAAAGAAAACGTCGTGTGTATGATCAGTACGGCAAGGAGGGGCTGAACAACGGGCGCGGCAGGCGCTCCGCCCCCGACGAGGATTACGAGTTCGGATATCACAGCTTCCCCTTCACATTCCGAGATCCCGAGGAGGTGTTCCGAGAATTTTTCGGAGGCTCTCCGTTTGGTGATTTGTTCGCTGGTAAATATAAACCTAGTTTTCATGTTAAAATGTTAACATTCATTAATGTCGTTTATGTCCAGAGGCACAGACTGCAATTTTTAATGGCACTTTGGCCTTACAAACCTTTTCCTATGTCGTGAATCATAACATGGAATGATAATTAGCATGACAAACAATGACGCACTGGGAATAAAAACTTAAGTTGTCCTCTTACTACTAATATAAAATCTACTACATACATAAAATATTGTTTTTTTCTTAATGGATATATTGGAGTTTAATTCGAAAGTTTGGTCACCAGATCTGAACGGTCACGGCTACCATCACCGGCACGGGCGGCGGAGTCACCCGAGCACGTCGCTGACGTCATCGCTGTTCAGTCCGTTCGGTCTGGGGCTGCAGGGGCTGGACGACGCGTTTGCTCACGCCGCCTTCAACGGCAACGCCTTCACCTCCTTCTCCACCTTCAACAGCTCGCTGGCCGGCCCCGGCAGCGCCAACATGAAGAGCACCACCACCACCACGCGCATCGTCAACGGAAAGAAGATCACCACCAAGAAGTAAGTTTAAATACCTAGTATTAGATGTAATTGGTAACCAAATATTTATAGAATCCCATAAAAGTGAATAGAAATAAAAAAGGCAGTATGTTAAATCGTGTTTTTTGTGCTCTTTACAGGATTACTGAAAATGGAAGGGAGACTGTGATGTCTTATGAGAACGGGGTCCTGAAATCAAAGACTGTAAACGGCGTACCTCAGTCCCTGACGTACAGTTAAGCTGTCGGCGACGATCACAACCAAACTCGATCCAAATGACAACCTGTACTCATATCTACTGCGCGAGTTACATGTTCCATTTATCATTTAGTTTTGCTTAATTTAATGTTATAGGTTCTCTGACATTGTAAATTAATTGCTGTAATGTTAGATATCGAAACGGTCAAAATATTAATTCTAGTTCTACCTAGGCTAATGTCGCTTTTTACTTTAACTTTGACATAATTTACTTTTTATATTACTGCAAAAAATACTGAATAAAATTTTAAGTAGTTTCATTTCGATACTTTAAAATGTTTGTGTTACGTTGTATGGCACACCGATTTTGATCTCAGTCTCACGAACGGATCCTTGCTTCTTATCTTATCATGCGATAAATTTAGTTTTAGCGATCGTTTGCAATGTTTTGTGCTAGTCGCAGTCGCAGCAGTCGCAGTTGCGGCCGCAGTCGCAGTCGCAGTCGCAGACGCAGTGGTAGTAGCGGGCGCCAGTGGGACTGATTGTGGCGTCGAGCGCGCGATAGCTTGTAGACTTATTGGGAGCTCACGTAATTTTATAAGTACCTAATGTGTGACGTCATAGATTAAATAGTCTCTAATTAAAATTTAGCCAAGCCTTTTGTTTTTTATCGTCGTGAAGAAATTACTTTGCTTTTAATGTCTTGATCATTCTACTTGCAGTTTAAATAAATCGTCTGTAAGATAGTGAAGTAGGTCATCCATATTAATATTGCGTAGAAATTTCATGTACTCTGAAGACATATCTGATAAAATAATTTGCTTGACTCAGGCGTTGAAAATCCTTTTTTATTTTAAAGTAAATTGTGTGTAGAATGGTTAGGGTTTAAAATATGTGATTTTTTAAAAAAAAATGTAATTGGTAGGCCAAATATTTCACGGATTTACAATAGAGTGTGACATCAGTTGCTCATAACATGATAATATTGACGAGGTTTACTTTCGCGTCACGAAATTTTAGCTTATAGAAATACAATATTCATTTTGTAAAGGTGGATAATTGTGTTGCTATGTTAATTAATATATGTTAGTATGTTTAACAAGTTGCTACGCTACGCTAATTGAGTACTTAATGATTACTATACCTTGCAGTAACAAAATGAGGTATGTACACATTCGAATTCAGGGATGGTGATCATTTTACATTACAGGTATGTCGTATTTTGTATGCCATACATTCATTTAAATTTTTTTTCTATATTTTCTACAATTATTAAATACTTGTTTTAATAACAAATGTTTGAAATTTATCACCATTTCTGATGATGTTTTGAAATTACTTTTATCATTTTTCGATTGTAGTTAGATTGTTCAGTTTCCAATGCCTTTATTTACCATTGCTTTGGACTTTTTCTTGTTAATGTCAAAACTCCGTCAGATCGAATGTGAATAATGTCTAAATACCACTTTGCCCTTACGAAATTGATTTAATGTAATAAGCACTGCAACAGATATAAATAAAGAAAAATAATTTCATGTGGTTTTTATTTATTTATTATAGCCCTCTACAATACAACATATAGTTTAGAGAAATATCTACTTATCGTGGAGCAAACGTATCTGGCCCGATGGGCGACTGTGCAGTAGGGTAGCCAGTTTTTCCATGTCTCGGCACATCACTTCCTACGCTCTATATTAGACATAACTGAACAGTTTGTCACTGGGCCAGATAAGTTTGTGAGGTCTATGATTAGGAATTATTTTTGCAGGTAACTTTTTTTTATGTTAGTCCATCTATTCCCCCCGATAATTATTAGCGGCCACGACGTTAAAGTATACATTTTCATATAGTTTGTATTGCAATTAAGATCAAAATTCAAACAATAACCGGAACTATGGTAATCTTAATTCTATCGGCTTGTAGTTTTTGTCCCGTTTACGCATGACAACTTTTTTAAATCTTATTTACCCCTAAAATAAATAATGTGTCATAAGTGTAAAGCTTGTAATTAAAAAAATTATACCGTGATTGCTGACATCCTACACAACAGCGTGTGTTTACATTTTATTACATTATTGTACATAGTGTACCATTTAAACATTTCCAGTGTACCCCACTTAGACATCGGTAAGCCCCAGGGGAGAAAAGATCTGGGGGTAGTAGATGGACTAACTCCTTTACTTTTATTAATAAAAGTGACTTATAATATGAGAAAGAAAATATTTTTAATATTGATTATCATATGCATAGAGATTTCTATAAGACTGTTAATTCTTTAAATATCATATTTTCGATTAAACATGTATAATTTCAAGTGTACTCGTAAACTGCTAGTTCGGGAGACCGCCATCGAAGCGAACACGCCGCGTCGTGAACGGTTCGTTAAAGTCAACCAGTGAAGCGAGAACGAGAATAATATATCATATGTGCTTAGATTCTTTTGTCTTTCATCAACATCATCGTCAGAGGCACTACAGCCGCGGGTGGGCCTGGGCCTGGTCTAGTAAATTCCTCCATATCGGTCTTCATCTTTTGTCTTTGTCTCTCTCAATTGATGACGTCACGAGGCGGAGAGGCGCCCGTTAGATCAAGAGTAAACGATTGCGCGGTTACATTACTAATGCGCGAAAACGTAAACGTAAACTATATCAACTGTACAGTTGATATAACTGTAAACTACTTGTTACAGTAGGTTTTGGTTGCTGTGACACTCGCATTACATATGTCCATTCATTCATTCTCAGCCATATAACAATGCGTTTGAAACATCTATTTCGAGCCGCGTTTTCAACCGATCTTTCCCAAGACATCACATAGTTTCCTCTTTTCCTGTTTTTCTCAATAGTTTTTCTACAATTGTGATCATAAGTATCACAGCAATCAAATTCCACAGTAACGTTTAATAATTTTCGACAGCCATGCAACGCTGTCGGTGCTGCTGGATGATCGGCCCTTCCTCTGGATATTCCTTCCTCTTTTCTTCATTCATAACATAGCTGAAGCCATCAAAGTAACTGAATTCTTTGCTAATCAAGTCCTCCAGGTGGAGCAAACGGTTCGGGCGATTGACGGGCACCAGATTTTCTGTAACAAATGTGTAAATTCTAACTTGTGTTTAATCAATTTAAATTTATGTTTGGTTGTATTTAGTAAAACTCAAAAAATATTATAAAATGAGTATAGATTATATTAATACTATAAGCAGGAAAGATTTCTAATTTTGCATGTATTGGAATAACTCAAAAACTTTTTCGATTCAACCAATTTCCAAATTTCTTACACCATTGCAAATCTACCATTGAGTAACATCATATTAATATTATAAATGCGAATGTTTAGATGGATGGATGTTAGCGTTTGTAGCCTAAACGGCTAATCGGATTTTGATGTAAT